GAAGGAGGGAGTGAGAGGGAGAGAAAGAGAGGAACATCAGCGTGAGAGAGAAACATCGATCAGCTGCCTCCTGCACACCCCCTACGGGGGATGTGCCCGCAACCAAGGCACATGCCCTTGACTGGAATCGAACCTGGGACCCTCGAGTTTGCAGGGCAATGCTCTATCCACTGAGCCAAACTGGTTAGGGCAATTAGTTCCCTTTTAATGTGCACAAATTTTGTGCACTGGGCTACTATTGAAGTTGATAATTTTGTTGAAAATCATCTGAGGAAATATATGATTTTATAGTGTATCATGCAGTATATTTGAAAATTTGGAGAAATTTGTTGTGTGGAAAAATTTTTGATGGGACTGTTGAGTAATAGGTTAAAAAATAAACCATTGATAAATTATCCTTAGAGTACTGAACTACAACATTGTTTATGTTTTCTGTATATTAAATTAACATATATTATCCCCTCCTTAGCATGAGTCCCAGAGTCAGTATTGAATAAGTTAGTGAATTTATTTGCCTATCAGACTTGTAGATGCTGAAATAGATAATGCCAAGTACATTCACAAAAACCAGACATTTATTTAATTTGTTTACTGTGGATGATGTTTCTAAATGGAAGAGTCTGGGAAATATAAGTGAATGAGTTTCACTTGTTAACAATGAATGATTTTTTTCTTTTTTTCCTAATTAAGAATCGCCAAAGGTATATGTAGTAAGTGAAACTTTTGACCAGGAAGTCTTTTTTAACTATTCATATTTATATTTTAGCATTTTGAGATAAATAAAATGCAACTGTGTGGAAGTAATAAAGATATTATTGGGAAATCATACCCACTTAATCCTAAGAAGTTAATTCTAAGAATAAATGTAAAAAAATTTTCTTTTGCCTTTTTTATTGTTTTGATTTTTTTAATTAAAAGTGCATTGTTTTTACCTAGAAATATCTTTCAGACTATAGTGGCACAATGAAATAAGACCCCCTCCAAATATCTGTATTCTTTCAAATTTAAGAGTGAGTCTTTGCGGCAACCAAGAACAAAAGAACAAGAAGAGGATCTAACAAGTCAGACCTTACTTGTTCTCAAGGACATGAAGATCCGTTTTCCAGGGAAATCAGATGCAGAAACACAACTTCTGGTAGAAGATGTGAGTATTTGAAATGTATAAAATTCCACGGAGCTCATTCCTTTCATTCATCTTAGGACATTAACATTTATTTACCCATGGAGGCATTCTCAATGACATAGTAAACTTAACTGATGTTCTCTTCAACCTCCTCAAGCTGCAGAAAATACAGTGGCTATTTGAATTATTATGATTCATGAGCAGTGAGATTACCTTTATAATTAGCAATGCAAAATACCTTCTAGTGCATTGTCCCATTTTAATGATTCAATCAAGTGAAAATGATTCATGTTATTCAATTACTGCTCTTAATAATTAAAGAACTATCAAGTTAAAGCTGCTTCTATAAAGATTTAGGAAGATCTAATATTGAATTGATATGTAATAAAAAAAAAAAGTGGGCTTGGGGCACAAAATACCGAGAATGTGACACCCTGAATGATTTTGGTCAAATTTTGAAATGGCTTATGCTCTGTTTTTCTTGTTACACACACATTTGCACCACCCAGTGGAATATTCTAAAATGACAAAGAGTCCTAAAATTCACATTAAACTCAATGACTTTTCCTAATTAGAAAGGTCCAAGTTATTTAAATATTTTTGGTGAAAGAACATTTCTTAATTTAAAGTTCTGTCTCTTCATTCAAACATTCTTTTTAATTGCTGTTCGTAGATTCCTTAGTAATAGAACTTTATTTTCTGGTTTCCCTAATATTATCTTTCCAGTGGAGAGGACACCATCTAGTGGCCAAGTTGTAGGATAAAAACCAGAGCTGTGCACTTGGCCTTTTTTCACTTTTTGGCATTACTTTTGTCTAAAGCAACTATCTAGAAACAAATAATAAAAAATGACTTTATTTGTTTAAAAAGTCAGTCATGAATATTTCTATTTTGAAATCATGACATAGTTGTAACCAAAACCCCCAAATATTTTGCATTGTGTTGTTACTTATTTTTTAAAAAAGTAAAAATAGCACCTTGCCTGCAAATGAGCTGCTATTTGTCACATCAAGGGAAAAGGAATACAAATTGATATTATTTGTAAGTCACTATGCTAAATATGGTTTTATTTATATGTTATCTTATTTAATCAAGTTCTTTTCTAAATATAGCCAATGACTTTGTACCAGACAGTTTGCTTCTATTTCTTAGCTATATTAGTAATATACTACCGTTTTGAATCATGTAGAAGAAAAATTAAATAATCAGAGAATAGAACCAATATTTGTGGTTAATGTGATTGTTTTACCAAAAAACATGGGCTTACATAATTAATAACTAATAATTAGATCATTAGATTATTAGTCATTAGTTTATTTACTATATGTTCACTATATGCAGCAAATATTTTAATCTGTTTGTTACAGTATATATTACTAGAATATATATTCAGAAATTTTTCAGATTTGACAAAAACAAAACAAAGGAATAATGTAACCCTAATTATGGAATACATTATGGGCTATCTTCTAATGTATTATTCAATATTCTGTTATTATGGGTGGTATGGTAAATATAGGTTTTGAAATTAAAATGGAAAATCTACATCTTGGGCTTCTTTCCAAACCTTATATGCCTAAAGACATTTTACTTCCACTTATGAGAGACTGTGTGCTTTTTACACCAAGAAGCAAAAAAATTTGGATTCAGATGGCTTCTTAACCTTATGTTAGAAATCCTTGCACATGTCTTTTTTATTAAAGTAGACATTCTTCATTGCAAGTAATATCATAGTGCTTTCATTTCACAAATTCAGTACTAAAACCAGTTTCAACCCATCTATTTACTTTTTACTTGTTACTTTTGAGGAAAATTCTAGATTAAATTTCTTAATGTTTCTCCTCCATGACAGATCCTTGATAACTGGAAGTTTCATAAAGCAAAAGTGGCTTCATATTGGCTCATAAAATTGGACTCTGTAAAACAACGAAAAGTGAGTAATGATTCAAAGCAAGTTTGCCCTTTTAGATCGTCTTAAACTAGAATGATTAGGCCACATTCATAGTCAAACTATATACATATTTATTTGTTTACTCATTTCTTCAACAAATATGAATTGCATACCTGCTATGTTATAGGCAATGTCCTAGGATAAAAAGTGAATTAAAAAAAGCTATGGTCTCAAAGCTTACAAACTTGAGTGGAACAGGTTCAAGAGTAAAAGAGATAGAGAGGAAGGAAACAGCTAGTACCGGCATTCTTTGGAAGCAATTTTGCTGTTGAAGGGAAAAGAGATGGGGGTTAATGACAAGTTTCCTTTAAAGTTGAAAAGATTTAGCCCTGTCCGGTGTAGCTCAGTTGATTGAGTGTTATTCTTTGGACCACAAGGTCACAAGTTTGTTTCTCATCAGGGCACATACCTAGGTTGTGGGTTTCATTCCTTGGGGCTCAGGCAGGAGGCAACTGATCGATGTTTCTCTCTCTCTCTCACTTGATAGTCAAAATTATATTTTGACTCTGTAAATTGTCCCTGTGGTCAAATAGTATAATTTGACTACACTTCCTTTCTTATATGGCTCTTCCTCTCTCTCTCTCTCTCTCTCTCTCTCTCTCTCTCTCTCTCTCTCTCTCTCTCTCTCCCTATATCTAAAAAAGAAATCAATAAGCATGTACTTGGGTGAGGACTAATAATAATAAGATGAAGAGATTTATAGTTTGTGTGCTGATGAGAATGATCTAGAAGAGAGGAAAGAGAGGTGACAGAAAGTCCTTAAGTAAGTAATTGGGGGAGGTTTGTCCTAACAGGAGCATTAATTCTAATTATCTAATAGGAGGGAAGGCAGAGACCATGGCAGTGTTGTGAGAAGATGTGAGGGCTTTAGAGACTTGAGCAGGCAGTGGAAGGTATGTAATAGTTATCTTGGAGAGTAGGAGATGGGTGTGGCCACCAGTCTGAGGGGCCCATCAAATGCATTGCAACATTATTTTGGGGGAGAGATAGAATTTTATTAGCTTTAGTAATGATGTTGTATTCCTTTAGTAATGCAAGCTGTTATTTCCCCTTTCTAAGATTTATTGCAATAAGCTGAAAGTTGACACTAATTAAGTGATTGCCTAACTTATGTACTCTCATCCGAGTAAACTGAACTCATTATATTAACACATTCAACAAATAATTGCTTGGTGTTCTGGCATGTGCCAAATATTGTGCTACTATTGAGGAGGGTATAACAAAGCTGGTAACAGAGGTAGATTGCAAAACACATTACAAACCCGGAATAGATTTTTGCCAAATCACTGACTATGGTCTTGCTTGATTAAAATAAAGACCTTTTATTAGAATAAGTGTTCTGAGTTTTCTCAAGTCCATGTACTTTTTGTAATCTAGAAGTTAGAATAGTGTAGGTAAGTTGCTGATTAAAACAAAACAATCTAGAAACAGATTAAAGAATTTATAAGATATTAACACATGATAAATGTGACATTTCAAATCAGTGGAGAAAAGATAACTGTTCCCCTAAATGATACTGAAACAATTGAGTACCTATTTATAAGAAAATTAAGTTGTAGGCTTATCTCTTACCATATACAAAAATAAATTTCAGGTTACAATTTTATATGTAAAAAAGAAAGTATTAAAAGTTCAAAAGAAAACATAGAAGGATCTCTCTATATAAAAGCCTAAGTGAACATTACGACCAAACGACTGGAACAACCGGAACGACTGGTCGCTATGACATGCACTGACCACCAGAGACAGATGCTCAGTGCAGGAGCTGTTCCCTGATGGTCAGTGTGCTCCCACAGTGGGAGCGCTGCTCAGTTGACAGACTTGTCCTGGTGGCCTATCAGCCCAGATACAGCCACTCACTCCCTCAGTGGTCCTGCAGGTCCAATCTCTGGAGAATGGACCAGCGCTGCTGGCAGGATCCCAACAGCACTGCCGGCCTCCTGGAAGTCAGCCTCAGGCACCGTGGCTACTCCCTCTCCCTAGATGCTCTGCAAGGAAGAAAGGATATAGAAGGTGGCTGCCAGGTGGCTCCCGACAACTGGTGCAAATGTCAGTGGGATGGATCCGGATCCTGGGCAGGCGAGGGCATCCCACCGCCTCCCGGAGGGCCGATCTTGTCCTGGCCCCCTGCTCCGTGGGGACCCCACCTGTGCATGAATTCGTGCACCGGGTCTTTAGTATATTTATAATCTTAGAATGGGAAACAATGTCTTAAGAAAGACCTAAAACTCAAAAATATTAAAAAAGTTTGACCTATTTGATTACATAAAAACTTACCAATGGCAAAAAACTCCTTAAACCAAGCTGAAAGGCAGAAGCAGTGAGGGACATGGAGGTATTTGCAGCACATAAAACACAAGCACCGGTAAACCAACACCTCCTATGAATCAATCAGCAAAATAAACTATTCCATAAATACTAATAAATAAAATGGCAAATGTATAAAAAGGCTATGAAAAGACAATTTATGGATCTTCAAATAGCCAATTCATGTATAAATAGATCCTTGGCCTCACTAATGATGGAGGAAAAGCAAGTAAAAACCATCAGATTGGCAAAAATTAATAAGACAGATGGTTCCAGTCAAGGAAATAATGTGGATAAAAGGGCCTTTATCAAACAATTAGAGGGAGAATACATTGTTGCAACCCTTTAGAAAGATAATTTGCACTACCTATTAAAATGATAGGTGTTCATAACCTAATGACTCAGCAAAACCACTTGCAGAACTCCGTCCTACAAAATAATTGCAGAGTGAGAGACTTTGAGTAGGCAGAAAGAGCCGTTAGCCTGCAATGTAGGTCTGACACCTGGGAGTGAAAGGCAAAAGGTAGAGTATGAAGACCCTTAGACTTTAGTGAAGTTCTGAGAAAGACCTGGCCAGCTGATGGGGAGCACAGAACAAAGATTGCTTTTCTGGGAATCAAACTGGGCAGAAGTGGTCCCTCTCTGGTAACCCACCCTGTTGGATCCTCGGCCAGGAGCAGTCTGGGTAGAGCATAAGCGTGGCTTGAGTGTTGCAGTGATCCTGAATGGAGACGCTGTCAGCTAACTTCACTCTTGGAAACGAGTTAATTCATATGGCATGTCTCCATGGCTGCCACAAAGGCTGGGTGGGGTGTGATTTAAGTTGACAAACATTTGTTGGTTGCCAATTTTGTGCATGAACGATGGTACTGGGGATTTGCAGAGTTGTTTATTCATTTATTTATTTGTGTATTCAACCATGCATTGAACAAGAGTAAATGAAGGACTACTACATCCTGAGCACCATGCTACGTGTGGAATGCACAAGATTCATAAAAATCTCTTCATTCCATTTAGAGACCGTTGTTGAAGTATGTGTCTCACTGTTTCTGTTCCAGGATCTGAGCATTTGCTGGTTGCTCATTAGAATGTTGTAAAACTCTTAGATAAGAATGCCATACACATGAGCTCTTCCACATGCCTTATTTCAAAGTTTCCTTAATGGGTGTAAAATGTAAAGGTCAAAGATGTAGGCATTAAATACTGAAAAGAATCCTCACCAGGTGAAAATGGAAACAGCTAATCTTACTAAATGGCATGTTGTGGCAATTTCACACTTGCATAATTTAGCTTTCTGCCAATAATGCAGTTGCTTTATATAGTTTGTAAGGAATGTATGAAGTATGAAAATATTGCAGTGTTGTGTTTTGTGAAAAATGCCAAATTTGCTGAAAAGTTTTGTCTTTAGGCATAAAATAAGATTGGAGGATGAAGAGAGATTAGTAATATTAACATGGTACTATATTTGCATTTATTTTAGGGTTCTAAGAGATCTTTGTTTATCAAGTACTTTTTTCCTCTAAATAATCATTTTACTTTAATACCTACTATAGTTGCTTCTGCATGCATTTTGATGTTATTATTTTCCATCTCTTTTTTATTTGGGCAAACATAGATGCTATACAGAGCTGTTGGTTTTACATCAGCAAAGATGCCTTTACCCTATGGCCATGGCTGTTGCATGCATCCTTAGTACAGCATGTAGTAATGTTAATGTTACTTCTAATCCTCCTCACCTCATGCCATTATTTTAATTTAGGACTAACTGTTCAGCCAAATGGAGCAGTTTGTCATTCAACATCTGTATGTTCTTGTAAAAATATGAATTTGTCTCTCTGCTTTATGCCTTCAAATATATTATGTTTCATATGGAAAAGACACATCTTTTCATTTTATTAATTCTTTCATTGACTGAATCTTCCATTTACGTTTTCCCTTGGAGAACTTAATATCGGATTGGGATGTTTTTAAAAGTCACAATGTCGGAAACGGATGCCCATGTTCTGTATGTTTGCCTCACTTGAATCCACAGGTAAACACAAAGGGCACCTTGCTGATCATTTGTTTTTGTGTTTCAAAATTTTTTATTTTCCATCCACTTTCTTCTAACCCCAAAGCACCCAGAGGTCTAAAAGAGCATTACAAAAAGAACCTAGCTGGCCTTTACCTCACCCAGCTGGCCTTTCTAAACTTAGTTAGTGGGTGTTTTACTAAAGGGGCAGTCATTGTCTTCCCATCTGTATGGTCTTTTAAACAAACTAGTCCTTACACCAAGGCCCCGATGGAGGGAGTGCCTAGGCAGCCTTGTTTATACACAGCAATCCAACCCGTCTTCCCAAGTATTACTTAACTGGAGGTGAATTTGAGTCTTAGAAGAGACCATTTGATTCTCTTCTAGGGTAGTATTCCATTGTGTAAATGGACCACAGCTTTTTTATCCACTCATCGACTGATGGGCACTAGAGCTGCTTCCAAACCTTGGCTATTGTAAATAGCATTGCAATGAACATAGGGGTGGATATACTTTTAAATCAGTGTTTTGGGTTTCTTTGGATAAATTCCCAGGAGTAGAACTGCTGGGTCATAAGGCAGGTCCATTTTTAGTTTTTCGAGGTAACTCCATATTGCTTTCCACAGTGGCTGCGCCAGTCTGCATTCCCACCAGCAGTGCACAAGGGTTCTCTTTGCTCCACATCCTCGCCAGCACTCATTTATTGATTTATTGATGATAGCCATTCTGACAGGTGTGAGGTGATATCTCCTTGTGGTTTCAATTTGCATTTTTCTGATGATTAGTGATGTTGAGCATCTTTTCATGTGCCTACTGGCCATTTGTATGTCCTCTTTGGAGAAGTGTCTCTTCAGGTCCTTTGCCCATTTTTTAAATTGGATTTTTTTTTGGTGTTGAGTTGTATAAGTTCTTTATAAATTTTGAATATTAACTCCTTATCAGCTGTACCTCTGGCAAATATCTTCTCCCTTTCGGTGGGTTGTCTTTTCAAAGGATTTGCCTGTGCAAAACCTTTTTTATTTTAATGTAGTCCCATTTGTTTATTTTTTATTTTGCTTCCCTTGCTTGAGGTGATAGATCAGAAAAAAATATTGCTACAAGAGATGTACTGCCTCTGTTTTCTTCTGGGATATTTATGGTTTTGAGTCTTCACATTTAAGTCTTTAATCCATTTTGAGTTTATTCTTAGGTATGGTGTAAGAAGGTGGTCTGTTTCCATTTTTTTTCTGCACTTATCTGTCAATTTTTCGAACCTATTTATTGAATAGACTTTGTTTACCCCATTACATGTTTTTGGCTCCTTTGTCAAATATTAATTGACCATAAAGACATGAGTTGATTTATGGGCTCTCTGTTCTGTTCCATTACTCTGTATGTCTGTTTTTCCAGTAGCATGCTGTTTTGATTACTATGGCCTTGTAGTATAGTTTGGTATTAGGTAGCATGATTCCTGCAACTTTGTTCTATCTCAAGATTGCTGTCGCTATTCAGAGTATGTTGTGGTTTTATATAAATTTTTAGAATATTTGTTCTAGATTGCTTGGGTAGTACGGACTTTTTAATGGTGTTAACTCTTCCTACCCATGAACATGATATATGCTTCCACTTATTTGTATCTTCTTCAATTTTTTTCTTCAGGGTCTTGTAATTTTCTGAGTATGAATCCTTTATACCCTTGGTTAAATTTATTCTTAGTATTTTTTGAAGCAATTGTGAATGGGATTCTTTTCTTAGTTTTCCTTTCTGATAGTTCATTGGTGGTGAACTAAAATGCAACAGATTTCTGGATATTTAATTTGTATCCTGCTGCTTTACTGTGTTCATTGATCAGTTCTAGTAATTTTTTTTGGTGAAATTAGGTTTCTCTATATTCTGTATTATGTCATCTGCAAATAATGACAGTTTTACTTCCTTTCCAACTTGGATGCCTTTTATTTCTTCGTCTTGTCTGATTGCTATGGCTAGGTCTACTAGTACTAAGTTGAATAAAAATGATAAAAGTGGGCATCCCTGTCTTGTTCCTGATCTTAAGGAAAACACTTTTAGTTTTTGCCCAGTGAGTGTGATGTTGGCTGTGAGGTGTCATGTATCACCTTGATTACATTGAGGTATGTTCCCTCTATTCCCACTTTGCTGAGAGTTTTTATCATAAAAGTGTGATGAATTTTATCATATGCTTTTCCTTCATCTATTGATATGATCATGTGGTTTTTATCTTTCAATTTGTTTATGTGGTGTATCACGTTTATTGACTTGTGAATATTGTACCAACCTTGCATCCCCGGAATAAATCCCGCTTGATTATGATGTGCGTTCTTTTTTATATATTGCTGGATCCAGTTTGCTAATATTTTGTTGAGGATTTTAGCATCTATCTCTATCAGGGATATTAGCCTATAATTTTTTTTCTTTGTAGTGTCTTTGTCTGGTTTTGGAATTAGGCCAATGCTGGCCTCATAAAAGGAGCTTGGGAGTCTTCCCTCCTCTTGGATTTCTTAAAATAGTTTGAAATGAATAGGTGTTAGTTCTTCTTCGAATGTTTGGTAAAATTAACTAGTGAAGCCATCCAGTCAAGGACTTTTGTTTGTTGGGAGTTTTTTAATTACTGCTTTAATTTCACTATTGTAATCTGCCTGTCCTCTGTCCAGATTCTCTGATTCCTCCTGAGTCAGTTTTGGAAGATTGTAGGTTTCTAGGAATTTATCTATTTGGTCCAGACTGTCCAATTTGTTGTCATATAATTGTGATAATATTTTCTTACAAACCTTTGCATTTCTTTGGTGTCCATTGTTACTTCTCCCCTTTCATTTCTGATTTTATTTATTTGGGTCCTCTCTCTTTTTTTCTTGATGAGTCTGGTTAAAGGTTTTCGAACCTTGTTTATCTTTTCAAAGAACCAGATCTTGATTTCACTAATCTTTTGTATTGTTTTTTAGACTTTATTTTGTTTATTTTTGCTCTGATCTTTATTATTTCCTTCCTTCTTCTCACTTTGAGCTTTGTTGTTTTTTTTCAAGTTCCTCTAAGTGAAAAAGTTAGATTATTTATTTAAGATTTTTCTTGTTTATTGAGATAGGCCTGTAATGCTATGAATTTCCCTCTTAGGACCACTTTCACTGTATCACATAGATTTTGGGTTGTTGTGTTCTCATTTGTATTTGTTTCATGGTATCTTTTGATTTTTCCCTTGATATTATTGTTAACCTATTCATTGTTTAGTAACATGTTGTTTAGCTTCCACGTATTGTGTTTCTTCAGATTTTTTTCTTGTGATTGATTTCTAGATTCATACCATTATGGTTAGAGACGATGCTTGATATGATTTCACTTCTTAAATTTATTGAGACCTGTTTTTGTGTCCTAATATGTGGTCTATCCTAGAAAATGTTCTATGTGCATTTGAAAAGAATGTATATCTGCTGCTTTCGGGTGAAAGGCTCTGAAGATATCAAATCTATCTGATCAAGTGTGTCATTTAAGGTCACCAATTCCTTGTTGATTTTCTGTCTGGAAGATCTATTCATTGATGTCAATGGCATGTTGCAATTGCTTACTGTGACTGTATTACTGTCAATCTCTCCCTTTATGTCAATCAAGATTTGCTTTACATAGTTAGCTGTTCCTATGTTGGGTGTATAAATGTTTACAAGGCTTATGTCCTCTTGTTGGATTAAATTTAATCTTCTTAACTGCAGTGGTCTGGCTTGCCATCTGTGTGATATGCTGAAATTTCATGAATGCACTAATGTGTTTGTGGACATTTTATTTATTTTTACTTATTTATTTATTTTGGTCTTTTTAAAAAAAATTGTGGACTTTTTAACCTGTGCTTTTGTTCAGTTATGAGTGATTGTGTGTAATCATTAAATAAATAAATAAATAAATAAATAAATAAATATATTTTTTATCTTTGACTTTGAGACACACACAAATATACCAGATTTTGCAATATTTTGTGTGTTTTTTCCCCCACTAGGTTTTGGACATAGTAAAAACAAATATTCGCACAATTCTTCCACGCATCTGGAAGGTGACTGATGTCGATGAACTACATTTATATAGGATTTTTAACCGGGTTTTTAATCGCTTACTCTGGAGTCATGGCCAAGGACTATGGAACTGTTTCTGTGATTCAGGGTAAGTTTTAAGTTATTTTTTATTGTTGTCATTTGAAATATTTTATGATTAGTTATAAAAGTAGCTCAATAAAAAGATGGAATATCTTTTTTTAAAATATATTTTTACTGAAGGAGAGATCGAAACATCAATGATGAGAGAGAATCATTGATTGGCTGCCCATTGCATACTCCCTACTGGGGATTGTGTCCACAATCTAGACATATGCCTTGACTGGGAATCAAACTATGAACTCTTGGTACTTAGGTTGACACTCAACCACTGAGCCATACTAGCTGGGAAAAGATTGAATTTCTTTTTTTGTTTGTTGTTTGTTTTATTTCTTAAAATATTACAAAGAGTAGTACATATGTCTCCCTTTTTTCCCCACTTGACCTTTCCCTGGTCACCCCTAACCCCCAGTGTCTTGTGTCTATTGGTTATGCTTATATGCATGCATACAAGTCCTTTGGTTGATCTCTTACCCCCACTCCGCCCCAGCCATCCTGGTCTTCCCATTGTAGTTTGACAGTCTGTTTGATGCTGTTCTGCCTCTGTATCTATTTTTGTTCACCAGTTTATAATGGTCTTTATTATCCATAAATGAGTGAGGTCATGTGGTATTTTTCTTTCATTGACTGGCTTATTTCACTTAGCATTATGCTCTCCAGTTCCATCCATGCTGTTGCAAATGGTAAGAATTCCTTCTTTTTTACAGCAGCATAGTATTGCATTGTGTAAATGTACCACAGTTTTCTAATCCATTCATCTGCTGATGGGCAATTAGTCTGTTTCCAAACTTAGCTATGGAAAAGTGTGCTGCTACGAACATAAGGGTGCATATATCCTTTCTGACTGGTGTTTCTGGTTTCTTGGGATATATTCCTAGAAGTGGGATCACAGGGTCAAATGGGAGTTCCATTTTTAACTT